TAGCTGTCTAAATAAAAAACCCAAAAGGATGTTTACCTAGAAACTCATTTTCACACTACAGGAGAAAAATCACAGAACATGAGAATACAGACTGTATATGGGTACACTACATCAATGTTGCTGGCAAAAAAAAAAATCTGAATTTGGATACAAGACAAACAGATGTATTCATGTGAGAATATACTCTGAAAGAACAGTAAGTTCTTTGTGAAATTGTGGTGCTTTATTTAAAGAAATATAATTATTAAGTATTAATTAAATACAGTATAAATACTATGCTTAATATAATATTAAATATTATAAGATTATAATATTAATCAATAATAAATTACTTTTGGAAAATATCATTCTATTCAAATTATTAATATTCACAGTATTCAAAATAAGTAAGACTTATTACTGATTATTAAGTAGAATGAAAATCAATTCTATTTTTTTAACAAAAAACCCCATTAACTGTGAGGAAATTAAATACAAAATTAATATTGATTTGGACTAAACTAGTATAAGCATGAATTAACTAAAAATTGTAAGCTGGATAAGTTGATAGAAATCTGTAAGAATGAAATTAAAACCAAAAGAAATAATAAAATGTTATCAATGACCATTCTATCCTTGTTTCTGACTTCCCACATTCACCGAAGCACTGCATACAGAATCTGTGTTGCTACTATACTGTAGGCAAAAAACTCTGCTCATATGGCTGCAAAATATTGACTGAAGGAGTAATCTTAAATTTCAAAGAATCTATACTCTGCTTTAAAATGCTAGTATAAAAAAGAATGTTAGGACTTTTTCTTACCATAATCAGTAACATAGAACTCGTACATTGTTTGACTGGTGCCAGGAGAGATTTCTGGTAAGTCTAATTTGTTATCATGAGCTCTAATGAAGGCTTCAAGTTTGTCTTTACTGTCCAATTCCAGAAGGGCACCTAAACTCCACATTATTGCAAAGCAGAACAATTTATGCAGATGAAATATAGTTGATAAACCACCTTCTTCCTTCGATGGAATCAAACCCTCCAGAAGATTAATAGACTGAAAAGATTTTAAAATATTATGTAAAGAAAATATTACATAACCACTTTTTGTTTTTATATGGATATGCACATGCATTATTTATATGTATTCAAAATTTAATCATAATTTGAAAATGAATACAGGTTACCAAAGAATAACATAAAATTCAGAAGTAAAAACCCAAGAAAATAAAGAAAACAAACAAACAGACCCTGACTTCTAAAATCACACAAATGGTTGAAACAAATCAGATTAATACTTCAGCTTGTCCAGCACCTTATCTGCAATACTGAACAAAACTGGATACTCAGGAGTAAAAACAAATTAAAAATTCTCTTGACTTGTGGTGGTACTGGGGGTAGTGCTTCCTGCTAGTATTTCCTTTAGTTTAGGGCTTTCTGAACCAAATACAGTCTTTCTGGGTTTAGTAATCCCCTCTGGATTTTTCCACCCTGAAAATATTGAGACTGGTCTTGAACCTACACAAACTTTTATCATCTATAACTCCTTTGGCAAGATGTTCCATAGGTTTGCTGTTCATGGCATTGAACAGTTTGTTTTTTCCCTGTGTGAAACCCGTCATGCTTACCTTCACTGAATTTCATTTCCCATTTTATTACCTATTTATTCAGTCTCATAAAGTCTGTCTACAGTTCTTCATGGTTACCTGTTTTGTCCTTACTACCCTGAATAATTTAGTATCATTGTTAAACTTCTTCACCTAAAACTTTTCCAAAGTGTTTATGAATATTTTAAACAGCATTGGTCCCAGAAAATGTACCTCAGGACCAGTAGTAACCCCTGTCCTTCCTAAGAACTGATACTCCAATCACACATTTCTAATCTTCTATTCAGTTATTTATCTAGAAATTAACCTCCTATCTTCTGCTATGACTGCTTATCTTCCAGGTAAATCCCTGGTAAAGAACTTTGTTGAACAACTTTGTTCCTTCATGCAGACCATATCAATTAGATTATTGACTTTTCCAACAGGCTTGTAAGGCAGGATAAACTTTAACAAAATCTGTGTTGAATCTATTAAAATACATTATATTTGACCTCCTAATGAGTTGGGCTAGAGGATGGTAATCAGCCAAAAGAAAAACTTATAAGTAAAAACAACAGAAAAAATCATGCAGAACAATACTAGAATATATACAGTTAGAACGTCAGTGGAAATTATAAGGAGGAAGCAAAGGTGAGATCAGTTTTTATATAAAACAATTATTAAGTTCTTCTAGATGAAAAACAACTTAAACTGTGAATGTTAACAGCAGATAATTTGGCACGTGGGCATGTGTGGGTGAATATTCAAAACTGAACTTTAGAACTCAAGTACAAGCCTGCTATCTGCTAGATGCAACTAGTTTGAGATAGTTTTAAATTTTGAAAACGTGTGATCTAAACCAAAATGGCACATCCTGAATCCCATAGTTAATAAAGAGGCATAAGGCAGACCCACCATCCAGGAAGTTGACAAGTTACAATGTTCTGCACATAGACCATTTATGGCAAAACTGGGATCTTAAGTTTCTGGAAAGGAAAGGTGATGCAGTAAAGAAGGGGCCACAAAAGAAGTGGTCTTGGAGAAGAAGGGTCCCAAGGTGGTGGGTGAAGGAGGTGAAGATCCTATTGAAGAAAAGATCCTGGAAATGGTGGGTGATCCTAGATATCAGAGAGATGCACGTAGACAAACACTGGATGATGCAAAGAAATCTTGCCAAGTAATGCTCAGTCTTGATAGCTGTAAGCAGCTGCACAGCACAGAAACCAACATAACTTTTTTCCTTACCTTCCCACACAAAGAATGAAATCCTTACTGTGAAGAGAAACCAAGACTAAGTGACTGTAACACTGGAGAAGGGAAGCCGGGGAGAATCTGTGAAATTATTAAGTAGGGTAAAAGCTTTCGCCTCACTGGCTGTTGGGTAAATCCCAACATGAAGATCCACTAAGGGTTATTGGCTCTGTCACACCTGTGACAGAAGCTTACTGGAGATTTTAATTTGCAGGAAGAAATATTCAATATAGGTTAAATTGGAGAAATATTTCCCTGACCAAAAAGTATGAGTAGAACACTGACTTGCTCACACTTTCTAACAAGCCCTAATCAAAAGCATAGAAACTTCTAGTCCCAGAAAAAGTCTCCCATGAAGAAAACATCAATTCAGTCAGAGTTTTGACAGTTAACAAAAGTAGACTAAAAAAATAATATTTTTCTCTAAAAATTTTGTGCATAGTATGTCCATCTTGTTTATCTTCATAAACTGGCAGTTGCACAGTTCCTGCCTGTGGACATCAATTCTGTAGAAACCCTAATTCCATTTGATACTGCAGTTAATCTCTGTAGCATGCAGTGTGGGAATTAATGTGCAGCAAAATACTTCAGACTGTTGAAAATCTGAAGCTAACTGCCTAATGAACAGCAAAGAGGTACTGGATGCAAATGGACTACTGTAATATTAAATTGAAGTATTAACGAAAATATTATCTTCTCTTCCTTCTTATTCAAAGGCACTACTGAACTTGTTACAAGAGTGTCAATATAAAACTGGTGTTAGAGGGACAAGTGGAAAATCTGGAGAGTTAGAATCTGCAGATGACAATAGACTCAAACAAATCAGCCGTGGACAAAGTGTAGGGCAGACAGTCTTGTAAAGTATGCAAAACACATAATCTTATTATTAATAAATCACTGATAAAGTTTGGACTCCACTCAAGGTAGAATTCCAATTGATAGAAAGGGACAGGCAAAAATTACTACATTGACCTTGGAAAAGCGGACTAACAGGATCACAGAGATAAAAAGAGAATTATTCTTTAGTCTCTCTCCTGACAATACCAGTAGGGTTAGTCTGATCCTTACCACAATTTGATATTAAAAGAACAGGAATGACACCACTAACTTATTAAACATATGTTTCTGAAAACTTACTGAAGCCTGCAAATTCCAGTCAACAGAAGACTAGCCTACATGTGAAATGATAAAGAGAAGTTTACTTCTACACATCTCTAACAGTTCCTCTTATATTGCCTAAGAAACAAACATTGACTTTGAGGTTTTCTTTTTTAGGAAAAAATCTTTGCAAATTAAATATTTTTGCTATCAAATGTTCTCTTTGTTATTTCTGCACGTTTACTACAGTCAGTAAATTCATACAGATTTACGCAGTATCCGTTTTACCTGTATAATATAGTTACATACCAGAAGCTCCATTTTTGGATTAAGGTTTAGTTTCATATACATATATGCTGGTTCAAAGATTCTATCATACAAACTCTGTAAAACTTCAGCTTCTTGAGAAGAACGCTTTTTCAACCATGCCTGAAAAAACCCCACAATATTTTTCTGTATAAGATGTATGAAAAGGTAAAGTCAGGAGTAGCCAGTGATAATAATCTTACTTGCAATATTGGTCTCCAGCTGAGGGCAGAAGAACTGATGTAGACCATACCCATTTGAGAAACTGTTGCTGGAGAGGCATTCTCAATGTTGTGGAGCTCCAACAACAGTTTACATGTAGGAGACATAGGAATTCCATCTCCATTTGCTAGAGTGAGGGTCTTGTTATCATCCAAAACTGAATTTAAATTCTCAATCCAGATTGCATCTACAGGACCATCTAATATCAGAAACACATTTTCACCTGGAAAAATAATCAGAAGAGGTATAGTTCATATCACCATGCTGGAAGAGCAACAAAAGTTTACAAAAGATGGTCTAGCACTTAAAAATATAAAAAAGTATATTTTATTTGTTGTAATTTCTGCAATTCATTAATCAATCTCATTACTGTGTAAATTACATATTTGGTTAAAGAATTATTTTTGAAACAATTAATAGCAAATGAGGGCACAAGCATATCTTTATACTGCTGAGTGTCTCTGCTGAGATTACCTTGTCTGGTTGTCAGACAGACACTGCTCCCCACTCATTCCCCCTCCTCAACAGAACAGATGGAGAAAATAAGATGAAAATCCTTGTGAGTTGAGGCAAAGACAGGGAGATTACTTACCAACTACTGTCACGGGCAGAACAGACTCAACTTGAGGAAAATTGATTTACTGCCAACTAACATAGACTTGGATGATGACAAACAGACAAGAAAACTACAAGACCTTTCCCCCACCTCCTTGTCTTTCTCCAGGCTCAACTTCTTCCTCCCCACATAATCTAGCTCTTCCTTCTTCTTCCCCTCACCTCCCCCTCCTGAGCAGCACAGGGCGGGATGGGGAATTTAGCATTTTGTTGCTAAAATAAGGTGTTTAATATTCCCAGACCCTATTTAAATTAATGAAAACTATCATCACTAATAGAAAATCTGTTTGTTTTTCTTTTACTTTCAAACATAAATATAGAGGAAAAAACCTAAATTTTGGCAATCAAATTTTTAAATTCTGGCTTTGTTTTGAATGTAGAAAATTTCCAACAGAGAAAATATAGACATGTCCAGTATAAAAAAATCAACATTCAAACCTCTTTCTAGGAAGGTTCCTTAGAAAATTTCCTTTTATACATATAATTTTAATTTTACAGATACAATTGAATTACTGTAAAAAGGAATTTCAGTGTTCTATTCCTAAAATAGTGACATATAAATATGAGTAATCAACATATGAAAAACCACAGGGAAAAAAAAAAATCAACTTTCTTTCAAAGCTAGTGCAACTAGTACAAATAAATCTAAATGATAATTTGTCAGTTTCCAAGTAACACATCTGGATTGTAGAAATGAAGTGGCAAGGAAATTAACTATTTTTTAGTGCAAATTCACTGCTGAAATAACACATTTTTAAACTGTTGCTTTTTCTTGAGAAGTGAACTGCAACCTTATCTATGTTCTCTATAGTTTCTCTCAAGAAGGAACTTAGCAAATTCAAGATGCATTTTTCAACATATCATCTAAGCAGTATTTTTATGATACCACACACAAAGTATTTACATACCCTTTTTAGCTTTCAGTGTTTTCCTCCACAATGCAGAAAAGATTCCATCTGTCCAATCATTAGTTGCAGCATCTAGTTTTCCAAACATCTGAGGAGCAGTAATAGCTTTGGGGTTCATCCGCATTTCTCTATGAGATTGGCCACATTCTGTCAGTGCTCTCATTAATGTAGTTATGACCATTTCTTTCATTTATAGTACCTACATTCATGTTCACTTTCATGCTTAACCTTGTTATAGGTTTCCATAAGCTTGTCATAACACATGCAAAGACATATATGTTCTATACATCCTTTAACTCTTTCAGCTGAATACAGATTACCCAACCAGAGTATAGGTTCTCAAAACTTGTGTGAGAAAAACCTTTATTTACTACAATGTCCGCTCAAATGCACCCTGAAGACTCTTTTCCACTACAGAAACATATCTAAGTCAGAAATACATACCCCCTCCATTTTTCTTTGCTCTTATAAAGGTCTTCTAGCACTATCCTCCTACTTAGCAGGAGTTGTGCCCTGGCTATGTTTCTTTTCACTCTTTATTTACTGTTTTGGCCTTCTAAAGGCCTCCTAATCCTTCTTATGCCCTACTGTCGCTACCCTAGTCCAAGAAACTCTTGTTCAGAGACCCGTGTAGGTGCCTTACTGCTTCTTTCAGATAACTCAGAGGCACTACCATATCTGGGAAAAGCTGGGTTAATAGCATGCTTTAAAGTGGGTTGTTTTTTGTGTTTTTTTGAGGGGGGTTTTGTGGTTTTTTGGGTTGTTGTTTTTTGGGGTTTTTTTAATTATTTTGGATAATTTAGGGAAATAAAAATGTAAGTCCTTGGATTGGTCTTCCTTAGTGTTGTGTACACACAACACTAAGTTTTTCCCATATTAGAAGCACAGGTCCTTGAGTGAGACAGTGGTTTAGCTACCAACATGATGCTCTGACTCCTATTTGTTAAAATAGTTTCAGAAAAAAAGTTTTACCTGATTAAGCTTAGGATTCCATGGTGGATGGTTAATCAATCCTGCTTCTTCAACCTGATTAGCTACTGCAGCCTGAAGCTCAGCATAGCTACTACTGTCCAACTGTAACCCCGGAAAGAGATCATTGATAAGACTGAGAAACAAAGGCTCATCTTCATCTATCTGAAACAAAAAAATTTATTAAGTGCTTAAAGCACGGTGTCATGGTTTAACTCCAGCTAGCAACTAAACACCACACAGCTGCTCACTCACTCTCACAGGAGGATGCAGGAGAGAATTGGAAGAGTAAAAGTGAGAAAACTCATCGGTTGAGATAAGACAGTTTAACAGGTAAAGCAAAAGCTGCACACACAAAGTAAACTGACAATTCATTCACTACTTCACGTCAGCGAGCATGTTCAGTGACCTCCAGGAAAGCTGGGCTCCATCACACGTAACAGATACTTGGGAAGACAAATGCCATCACTCCAAATCTGTCTCTTTCCTTCTTCTTCTTCCCTCAGCTTTATATACTGAGCATGATGTCATATGGTATGGAATGTCCCTTTGGCCAGTTGGAGTCAGCTGTCCCTTCTGTGTCCCTTCCCAACTTCTTGTGCACCCCCAGCCCACTCACTGGTGAGATGGTGTGAGAGGCCAAAAAGGCCTTGATTCTGTGTAAGCATTGCTCAGCAATAACTAAAACACCCCTGTGTTATCAACACTGTTTCCAGCATAAATACAAAACACAGCCCCATACCAGTACTGTGAAGAAAATTAACTCCATCCCAGCCAAATCCAGCACATAGGGTTATCCAAAGCATGTTCTCAACCCAAAATGAATCTCTTTTAAAATAATAAACAACAAGAATGTATTTTCTAAATACAGATGCTTGTGTTTAAAACACCACCAGCCAACAACACAGATCGCTACAAATATAGCATTTTGAAGACATCATCCATATGCCATGTGAGAAATAAATTCAACACTGAAAGAAATTTCCCACTGAGTAGACACTGGAATCTATTTGTAAAATTGATGTGTAAAACACTTGTAGCGTATATTGGAAAGAATATCCTCTCTGGAAGGAATCATTAAATATCTAATTTAGTGCATACTCAAATTATTCAGTTTACTTATGGTACAACAGTAGTCTGTACATAAGTCAGTACATAAAATGTCACACCCACAGCTAAGCCACTATTAACCAATTTGAACCTTTGCCCCCTGAGCAGTGTTTCCAAGTCTAATAGACTCTCATTGTTGTTTAATGATAATATGATGGTTATGATAATGTTTCAATTTTTAAATAAAAGGATGTTTGGAATTTTTTTCTAATTTTCTACAAAACCACATGAAATATGTAGTAGACTTGCTTATACATGGTGCTAAAATATTAAATTAGATTCTTACCAGCTTAGAAAGATTCATATCTCTTAGTCCTCTCATAACAATACTTAATTCACTTTCATTTGGCCTTGTCCTCTTTTGTGACCCGAGTCCTCAGTACTGAAAGGATATTCCTCAGACCAAAGTCATAATCCACCTAGTGGAAAAAAGTTTATGTAGCAGTAACAAGTTTTATTTCATCAGTATATCAAATCTTACTTTCATATTTTATAGTATAGTTATCCTCCCTGGAAAAGGCAGCTAAAATAGAAACTGCTGCTGTTGTTTAGGAATTATTCTATTAAAATAAATGAAAGTTATTTTCAAGAAATTGGGAGGAGGTTGTAAGGTTTTTCTTTTCTGATTTGAATTTAATTGGCTTCGCCATTTGTAATGCCATAGAGCAATTATTTTGTAGCTGTCTATAGCAGGGTTTTAAAATAATTGTTTTTCCATTCCAGACTAGGTCTTTTCAACCAAGGCAGCTTAAAGCCAAGATCTCAGATCAAAGCAGTGCTATGGGGAGAAGGGCAATTTAAATTAACTTCAGATCTTGCTTCTATGGTTTCCAATTTCTAACTACTTTGTCTAGTCCTAGATAATTCTTACAGAAAAAAAATTACATTATTGGGTTAATTTTTACCCAGCTGACATGTTTAGGCACTTATGCACTTGCAACTACAAACTTTCATTCTGTAACAATTGAATAAATGTGTGTATGTGACTACATATACATGAATTAACACAGCTATTTGTTAAAAAATTTTACAGACCTATTTGTATATTTAAACTACTTCAGTATTTTGTAAAAAACATAAAAGTGATGCTTCAAAAACTACCTGCACAAACCAAACCCAAAGGGGTTGTATTGTATAATATGAAGGAAAAGAGGAAGGGCATACATAACAGTATCTGCTTAGTGAGCTGCTCCTCGCAGAGTTTATAAAGAAGGAAGAATTTCTGAGACAAGACCACATTATCAATAAATTCGTAACTTGCAAGCTTAACTCTTATAATTATCTGAAATAAAATTTTTTATTAGAAATTCCATTAGTTTTCTGAAGATAGTTAAACAAAGTAAAACACATTTTTTTTTTCTTTCAGCTGTCAGGAATTGTACCTCTCTATCTGGAACAATCATTGCAACAGTTCTAAACTGAATTTTGAGATTTTCTGGTAGTTCTTGTCATCCAGTATATCCAGGATTCTATATAAGAAAACATACTGCATTATTATTTACAACAGTCAAAATAACATTCTTTTTATTGTTCAGTAAAAGTAAATTTATGCATAAATACCTAGATCTGTTCAGAGTTAGAACTTGTCGAATGATGATTAAAATGTGAAGAAACAACTTCAAAAATAACACAGTAAACAAAATTAAACATGAAATCTTTACAACAAAATCATATAAAAGAAAATCTTAATGACCAAGAAAGTTTGACTAATAGAATATTCCTAGAAGCTTTTGGCAAACATGAATAACACTGACATCAAACAGGTGGCATTTAAGAAATTAGAAGCAGTCAAAAAGTATGACCACCTCAGTTATTATCCTGCAGTCAAACACACAGCAAAGATTTTAATTTTCCATAAAATTATCTTGCATTGTAATCTGTCTTGGCATTAGGAAACATACACAACAGAATTCCCTGCTCATGAGATTACAGGAATTAGTGCTATGAAGCCTCAGGAATCCAATGGCAACAAGTTAGCATACTCTGAAATTTAATATTCTAAATCCAGGAGTTTGTGCTTCTCCCTTGGGTAGTGGCTGGTAACTGGTGTAGGATTATACATAATGTCTTGCATATCTTCTTTGCACAGTTTATCCATTCAGTTCTGGGACCTAACTGTGGGATCTATATATGTTGCAAGTCTTTTTCACAAGTAGTCATTATAAGAAAGGGAACAAGGGATCTCAGACACCACCCATAAAAACTTCATGACGTGAGAAGCATAGTTCTGTCATAACCCCACACTGATTTCAGGTTTGACACACAGAGCAGGATGGGTCCATTTGTCAAAGAAGGCCAGAAGTCAACATCGAGTATTGTATTCATCAGTTTAGGCACATCATCTATCAAAAAATGAAAGGATCTGGTAATTTTTTGCACAGGTTTGAAAAGACCTGTTGTCATCACAGTATAAGGAGGGTAGTTTATTTCAGAATCATCACACATGTCTCCAGTAAATCAGCTAAAGAATTCTTTTTTTATATCCATGTAAAATACACATTAGACAAGACATATATCTTTGAAAAATGTCTTTCTTATATCTACTGTTTTAAGTGAATGTTGTTTCAGGTTGGTTTTGTTTTTTTTTTTTCCTACAGTACCTTTCTCACCAATACTGTTAAAGCATTTCAAGCTAAGGTAGTAAAGTATATTAGTATTTCAGTCCTCACAATGAGCACAGAGAATTCTGGAAGTTTGGCCAAACTTTTAGTCTACATAGTGAATTGCAATACAGTAATGAAGGGACGTAATTATGAACCTTTTCAACAGTCTTAAAGTAAAAATGAAGGCATGTAATTAATTACTAATCAGATTATTTGTGTTCCAGTAGTTTAATCTAACTGTATAGCAACAGCAACATTTTATTAGTTTGGTTATTTTTACCTTGTCATTTAATTAACTTGTATATAGTATAATTTGTCACTTCTCTGGAATTATTATGACATTTACCATTGTTAGGAAAATTCCAAACTCTGGATTTAAATCTACACAGTCTCCATCAGAAAAAATGAACTGCTTTTTTCTTTCTTTTCTTGCTGTTAAAATAATATAGATTTGCTGTGCTGCTACTGACAAGACAGGCAACTCAATTCGGCTGAATTCATCAAAACATCCCCAAGATCCAGACTGCGCAAGACTTAAAATAGGGACAGGAAAAAAAATTATCTGTTATTCTTCACGCATATTTGAAATATCTGAACTAGAGTACTTCTCCTTCAAATAATTAAATAAGATTAGTTTTATTTATTGCCCTGTAGACAAGGCTTTTCTTCCTCCAAACCACCTGACTATTTCCATGTCAATCTAAATTAATATTAGTTAATTTTAAAAAAATGCTTAAAAGTGAATCAAAATCAGAAGACATCTTTTGATATTTTAGGGCATTTGGCAAATCTTTCTTCCAGATCTTTCTTTGAATGTAGCCTTTTATTCCAATGCAGCAATTCAATTGTTTGTAAAAAGCTGTATTTTATTATATTAACCAAAAAAAAAAAGAAGTGACAGAGCTAGAAAAAACTAGCCCTAAACATTACAACAAAAAAATCTCAAGCTTTGTATTTTCAGTTGGGTGTTTCAGTCTTCACAATGCTTTTCAATTACTTTGTACTCACCTCTCGTAAATCATAAAATTAAAATTTAAAATTAAATCATTTAGTGGGATTTAAATAAAACACTGAATCTCACAAGACAGAAAATATTAATCTTAGAGCATATATGTCTGAGCATAACGATTACCATTTTAAGTCCACGCTAAACTACAAGTTTTTCATGTAATGGTACAGGATATTAACAACAAATGGTGGACAATGGTCTGTGTGAACTTGTCTATGAAAGAAAGAGAGGAAGATAGAGAAAGAAATTTAAATGAAAAGAGAAATCTAGAAGCACTATATCAATAACAAGCACTATATCAATAACAATAACATTTACATAAAGGATTAATTTCACAGTTGCCCAATTTCAGTTTAAAAAAGCAATGTATTTATTAGCAACTAAGAGAATTGCTGTTCTGTGCTGGTTTTGGCTGGGATAGAGTTAATTTTTTCACAGTAGCTAGTATGAGGCTATGTTTTGAAATTGTGCTAAGAATGTTGAAAACTTACTGATAATTTTTAGTTGTTGTTAAGCAATGTTTATATTAAACTAAGGACTTTTTCAGTTTCCCATACTACCCCTGTCCTCCCAACTTCTTGTATAGACGACACAACCTGGACAGCTGACCAAAGGGATATTTCATGCCATCCAACATCATGATTGGTATATTAACTTGGGTGAGTTGTCCAGGAGAGGTAATGGCTGCCTGGGGACTGACTGGACATCATTCAGTTGGTGGTGAGCAGTTTTATACATATTTTTTTGTTGTTTTTATTACATATGATTAGCATTAGTAGTAGTGTTTTCATTACATGGTAGTACTACCATTATTTTATTTAATCTATTTTCAATTATTAAAATATTCTTATCTCAACCCATGAGTTCTCTTATCTTTTTCCTCCGATTCTCTTCCCCATCCAACTGAGGAAGGGGGGAAGGTGCGTGAGCAGCTGTGTGCTGCTTACTTTCTAACTGGGGCTAAGCCACAACATGCTCCTTTGACAACTTTTTATGAGAAAATTTGTAGCAGGATTTGTTTTCAAAATTATATTTAAGTGCCAGGAGGCAGTAATTTTCTTTCATGTATACGGAATGATAGCTATTTAAAAGTGAAAATTTCAACCAATGCATTCATGGTATGTTACTGTTACACAGTTAAGGCTAAATAATTTTAAAGGCATTCTGTCATGGACCCAAGGATTTTCTTTCTTTTTTTTTTTTTTTTTAAAGTTGAATAGCTTGACTTTCAAAGGGACAATATGTTTATAAATCCACAGCTTTAGACACTTTTATGCCCCAATTATTTGCTTGCTAATAAATAAATAAACAAAGAAATAAATCGTTTCACTCCTTGCTTCTCAATAAATATAATACCATAACTCTGACCAATGAGTGAACTGAAACCTCATGAAGTTCAAGTCCTTTATCTGGAACAGAATAGCTCCATGCAGCAGTACAGGCTCAATGCTGTGATGAGCACTGAGCGATTTGGCAGAAAATGACCTGGTGTTCTGCTTAACAACTAATTGAGCATGAATTATAATTTATGCCCTTGTAGAAAGGAAGCCGACTGCATATTGGGCAAGAGTGTAGCTGGAAGACTGAGAAAAATCACTGTTTGCCTCTACTTTACACTTGTGAGAAAGCAGCTGGAGTACTATGTCCAGCTTGGGGGTTACCAATAGAGGAAAGACATTGATACACTTGCATGAGTCTAGCAGATGGCTGCCCTGATGGTCAGTGGTGGAGGACATAACACAGAGAGCCTGAAAGAATGCAACTTGTTGAGCTTGAAGAGAAAACTAAGGGGAAAGCCTATTGCTGTTCAGAACTAGCTAATAGAAGGCACTAAGAGATTGGAGCCAAGCTCTTCTCAGAGGTGCAGTAGAAGAGGAGACAATGGACACAGGTTTCAGTGTGGGCAATTCCAGGTCAATGGAAATATAAAAAAGTTTTACCATGAGGGTGGTCAAACACCTGAACAGGGGCACAGTATTGTAGCACATCCATCCCTGGAGATACTCAAAACGCAACATGAATAAGGTCCTGAGCAACCCATTCCAACTGCACCTGCTAAATGACCTTTGGAGGTCTCTTCTATTCTACATGAAGAAGTCTTACCTTTGAATATTCTAACCCAAACCTCTGAAGTCCGTTTGATCGGAACAGTTCAAGACTACTACATATTTTCCCAGAGCCTTTCCCATGCCTTTCATCGCTTCTGTTTTACCAGTTCCAGCTGGTCCTGCTGGAGCTCCTCCCATGTTCATTCCCAAAGCCTGCGCTACGGTTTTATAGCACCTAAAAATGTTAATTCATATTAATTTATTAAATAATATGAAACATATGTGTTTATATATAACAATGAGTTATGCAATAGATTCTACAGATCTTATGTTGAAATATTACTTCTTCATAAAGCAGTTGCATTGATTTTCATGAGTGTAGGAAGTTCAGAGTGGTAAAAGTCATAAAATACAGCTTTTAAACATTGCTTATAAAAGCAAAACAGTGTATCTGATGTTAAACTAGCTTATTACAGTTACAATTAATGAGCTAAAAATTAATGCACACCACAAGAAGAAATTTGTCATTAACTCTTTTTACAGATATAAAGAGCATATTCTGCTCTTATCTTAACCTGTAAACATTTAATTAGGTTAGGTTACCTTTGTTTGAACCCTCAAGCGTGAAAGAATAAGGATATATGACCCATTACACAATTAAGTGGAATTCAAATCTCTAAGTGTATAAATTAGTAAGACACTATTTTACCTTTTCTAATAGAGTATGACTGAACAAGTGTATGAGAAGATTTTCATGAATGACTTAGACCACTCAGCACTTAATTAAGAATGTACCTCTTTGAAGATATATGTTAAATAAGCACTATCTATATTAAAAGTATTCATTATGTATAATTGTTTTTCTAACCTGTCTGTAAGAGGCGTTATAACCAGACGATCAGTGCAACCCAGAAATTCATTTTGGTAAATAAAATCAACATCTGTAATGGATACCAAGACATGATAGAAATCCTCTTTAAAATAGAATCTAGACTGCTTTAACCATTCAAAATCAGTTGGTGATTTGATGTGCATTTTTACCTTAAAAGAAAGCAATAAATGTATACATTATAACTGAGCATCCATGTTTTTTGTCTTTGATAACTGTGATAAAATGCTAATTTCTATGAGGATAATGAGTGATTACTCAGATCAAAATCCCTATGTAAGTAAACAAATATATATAAGCATCACATAATATGTTCTGATGCATGTTAACTGTTATTAAAAAAAGTCCTCACTTAATCTGATCATTACAACATCTGTGTTAATCAAATAAATCTTAAATTGCTTTCGTAGTTCAGCTCACCCTCCAAGTGAAATTAGCAAACACCACACTGCTAAATCCACCAAGGACATTGGAACAAAGGCCTGATGAAGGAAGGATCTGACTGAGGCATGGAAGCCAAATTACACAAAAGCTAATAATCACGTGTCATCAGCAGTAAAAATATGTGAGATATGTAGTGTTGAGGGATGGCATTCCTCAAAGAATAAAGGAATGTAAACAATTTAGCAAAATATTAAAATGTCAAATATAGGATTAGCATTATCTTTTGACTTTAGTAGGGGTTTTTTTATTTGTTTGCCTTCTATGTACTCTCCTTAGGAACCAGAAAAAGAATCCCAGCAGACCACTCTCCGAGGGAGTATAAGAGGCAGAAAGAAGAAACAAGGAAATATGGTCAATGTTGTCACTGATGCTGTAATTCTAGAATGGGCCAATCAAAAGAGCAGTTTATTGCCAACTACTGAGATTCTGTAACAAGCCAGAAGGAAATAATTATAATGATAAAGCTACAACACCCTCAGACAACTCAACTCTGAGTTGAATAATACAACAGTTTTCCAGAGAAAGGACATATTAAAATATTATGTATCAAAACAATGCTGTAAGAAGAAGTGGAAAACTGCAATATTCTAAGAGAAGTGTAAAAATGTGGAGCAAATATTTAGATCACAGAACTGATGGATTTTATTCTAGTTTAAGCAAAAATATACTATTTTTACTATGATGAGATTATAGACATCTCTGTCTTACAAACACATGCATACACATGTGTAACTGTAGCTACCACATATAAGAAAAATTATTATGACAGAAAATGCTTTTAATTGTTAGGAACCAAAATCTGTACTTTACCAAATCATCAAAAATATCACGTTGATGCACATGAATGGTAATAAGCATTTCAAATTTCACTCTGTCAAACTTGGAAAGATCATGTGTGGTCTGACTAATCAACATATTCAGAATCTCCAGAAATCTCCCATTTGTGATTTGCATGATTTTTCTGTCCTCTTTGGCATTCTGTAGAGCTTCTTCTGAATCATGTGTCCACAACATCTGAATTCCCAGTAATCCAACCTACAAATTAATATATGAAAAAAATACCAAAGAATCACTCTTTGGACACTAGCCTTATTATAGAAGCCTTAGGTGTAATAAGAACAATAAATTATGGTGTAGAGTTTCCAAAATTATCACTACATGCAACACAATGCTACCTCACCAGGATACTGTGCCTGAGTTAACTGGCTCTGCTGTAATACTGTAAACTCCTGACAAAACATTTTTAAACTTTTATGAAAATTTGTCACATACTGAGATACACACAAATTAAGGGTGATTCTCAGTTTCACTTACAATCTCTTTAAGTACTCCAGTATCAAAAACATGAACAGGTCTTAAACCTGTAGCGAGAAGTTATGAAAATTTTCCACTGCCAATTCATAGCTAATTAAAGAATATTTAAAAAAAAAATAGAAAAAATCCTGTGTATTTCTGTTGAACAGAGTACTTATATGTTTAAATACTAAACTCTTAAAAATAAATACTGATGAGATAATACATAATTATGTCATAAATACAGCTGTAAGATAATTCTATTAAATATTTAAGTGTACTGATTTTTAAAAAATATTATCAATGTATTGACGAGTTTTAATATTTGCAGAATTTCTATTAAAACATTGTACCCAGCACTGTACAGATTAGCAAATTACAGAGTCAGAATTTGTACAGGATGGGAAACAATTCATAACTTGTTAATGAAATTTATGAATTCTCAGTAAGATGGAGGAACGTCTAGGCAAACTATAATCCTTGAAGATAGCTTCTACTCTGACTGCATTATCATACTGACAAATATATGAACTACAAAGTAAATCTTGTAAATGATTAAATAATTAATCATAATCATAGCTCTTGAAATCTTAAATTATGAGAGAGAAATAAATCTGCACATGAAATTTTATTTGCACCTGAAGGGGGTTCAATATCTATCACAGAAAATATAAGATCTACTTCATATCCCCCAGTAAAACAAACAAAAAAGTAATTTTAATGTAGATTACAAGAAAAATATTTTGCTATATATAGGGTACCAAAACTGAAAGGATTATGCATTGCTGTCTACTGAGTAGATCCATATTCTTGTTTCTTCTATGAAAACTTCCTCATATAGACAATCCCATAAGGTCTATACGTCCCTCTTCTTCTCACACACAATCCAGACTGCACACACAAATCTACGTTCTGTGATCTCACCTGTGCTGGGAAGTGATTAAGAGAATTCAGCAACTGATATCCTGTGTCACTAATTTGGTAATATGCTGCCCTAATTATGCCATGCAATGAAATCTGCTGCACACGCAATAAATCCTGCAACCAAAGTTCTGCTAGTCCTTTTGAAATCACTGGAGTGTCCAACTGAAAATTTAATAAAGGGTACAAACCAGAACATGGTTACCAAACCTCTGTTCAAGAACGTTAGTTACTAAATAGTTATTAAATTTCTATTCAAGACAACTACAGATTTAGTTTCAATAAACATACTAGAAATTTATTTAATGAAGATACATTAGAGCATTGTTACACTAATCCTTGAAATGCCAATTTGTAATTGACAATAATTCAGTTGACTACATACTTATACGTTCAACAACACAATGGTTTGTCTATTAACAACATTTTTTGGGGGGAAAAGAAAATCAGAGAATTACTGGAATTTTTTCTCCTTCTCTTGAAATGACTTCCAGTATGCGATCATAATCCTTCGGGTGAAAGTCTACTTCATTTATATTGTCAGATATGGAAGGCAGATGTGGCTGTAAGGATAATTAAGAAGTCATTCAATGTAAATATATAACATTAGGAAACAGAAAAAATCTTAAGTAAGGTTATCCTGCAAAGGTTCATTTGAACCTATAGGTTAATTTCAGACCATCCGTAGGTAATAATAACAGAAATGGTTGTGTAGGATTTCACCTCCATTTGCTGGTTTTTTCACATTTTCTCATAGGCAATCTAGCAGAACAGAGATGAGCTACTAGGTGAGATCAACTAGCTTATCTCAATCAACCCTCACTAACAATCCAGAGTAGCTGGGCAAAATTTGCAATATGCAAAGCAGGAAAGTGTCATGGAGTCCCTTCTGTTAGATCGGTTGTGAAAGGAACCGCCAACAAATCATTCGATGGAACCATATTGTAGTGTTCTGAATTACAGATACCCATTTCATATTTTGTTAAAGAGTAAAGAGCAAAAACAATAAAATTTTTCTCAAACAAAGTTTATAAGAAGAAAATTATTACATTTTATTTTATTAAATGCTTTTCCATAGGCTATTTTTTGTTATAAGCAGGAAAAAAAGAAAAATATCACTAAGGTTGTACCTGAATTGTATGAGAATCACTTGCTTGTCCAAGAATTTCAAGAAGGGCAGGATCAGAAACAAAAAAGTATCTAGAAAACAGTAGTCTTTTCTTCTCTAAATATCTTAAAATTGAATAAGATTTTTATCAGAATATTTCAGCTCTTCAAATTTTTTTCTGCATAAGAGTGAAAGTAAGACTGAAATACTACTAATATTTCATATAAAATATTTACAAAACAATGATGCATTAAGAATCAAACAATTTCTACCCTGTAAGCGATTTCTGACATAATTCCAACTGTTCATGTAAATGAGGGAAAAGTCGCTCCATAGTCTCATCTCCAACACAGCAGTTAATTACATTTGGGTTTTCACCAGCTCGTTGCATTATTCTTACCCATGATTTGTCAATATTCTGAAAACGTTTTGCTTTCTATATATAGCAAAAAGATAAGAACTTTCAGAGCACGGTATCTTGGAAATTATCACACAGATAGATTTTAATACACAGTAATATGCAAGCATTGTAAAGTTTACCTGGAGTAACTGTTTTGCAATATCTCCCCCTACAAAAACAGCTTCAAGATAAATCCAGAGGTTCTGCACAAGCAGCCATTCTTCAATTATGTCTGTGGAGCTGCTTAGTTTATGAATCCAGCTCTGAATTTCTTTTTTAAATGGTGTATTATATCTTAAAAAGTGTGAGAAACAGAAATTATTTAGTTCTAAATAAAGCTATTGTAAACTCCATAGTGGGAGGGGGAGGGGGGGGGGCAGAACCCAAAACCAAACAACACTTGTTTCACAGCAAGAAGAAAACTGTGGAAAGTTTCTAACCAGCTTGATTACATTCAAATATACTAAGATAACAGTTTGCTAGTAATACATGCAAGTCTTCTACTTGAGGAAGTTCTACATTAGACATTGCAATGTTCTTTTTCATTAAAAATATTATTACATTCAAATTTGATGTGGATTTAACCTAATAATAGTACAGTTTCTTTCTATCCCAGTGTGTTTCTGAAAATACCATAGACAATCAATTTAAATGTACCTATTGGTCAGTAAAGAGAGAAGAATCATTAAACTGTCCTCCATCAACATGATAATTTCTGATGATTCAGTTCCCTTTAATAATAACTCTCCTCTCCCTTTGAATGATGAAAAGCTCAAAATTTGGCTTCCCCACATGTCAGCTATTTGAGATAGTTTGGCCTCTATATCCTTTTCCTTTGTAGAAGATATGCATATATCCGGGGGGAGGGGGGGGAAGAACCATTTTTTAGAATCTTAATTCTTCAGAAAATAAATGTTTCCTAATATTACACATCCAGTAATATAATATTAAAAAAATCTATTAAATTATTTAAAATAGTATTGAAAGGTGTCACACAAATGCAGAGACCACACTACTAATTTTACTGACTGAAATTACATGCATGGATAACAGAAAAGTGCTCACTTGGAAATTCATGGATATATCATTTCTGTATTCCATTTTTCACATTTTGTTAGTTCTGCATAGCAAGTTTTCTGAATCACCATTTCTACAAAGTTCAGTGTAGTGATGTAGACTCATCACCAGAAGAACTGTAATTCTTACCACAATTCAATTTATAGAATCACAGATTCTAAGAATACTTTAGGTTGGAAAGGTCAAGTCCAACATTCCATTCAAATAAGAGCTTAATTCAAAATTAAGATCACTTTGGATTGCTTACTTATAGATCAAGAATCAACAATAGTTTTTGCATGCATATTTACCCTATAGAACTTGTAAACTCCACTGAGAGTTTTTTTCAGGTTATGTAGAGGATCTTTTGAAATTGTATGGTTGAGAACAATCCATAAAGATCTAGAAAACTATTAATATTAAATATTAATAAGCATGGAGCCTTCTTCTAAGATTTTTTGTTTATGTACAAATCTTTAAAGACTTAAAAAAGTTAGGTGATCATGATCATTTGAAGGGACTCTTTTTCTGTTTAAAAAGAGCTAAGAAAATCACAGAAAATAGGGCCAGAAAGAAGGTGAAGGGATTATCTAGAAACACGTGTCAAAAATCTCCAGCTGCTACCTCTGTTCATATGGATAAGAACTTGTAAATAAAATAAAATAAAATAGTTTTAAAGTACTGTGGTCTGACTGAGAGTCAAGTGCTTTAATGAAGTATTAAATATCTTTTTAAAAGGTGATAATCTTATAAGTAATCATTATTTTTGCTGACAACATAAAATGAACAAGGAGGGAAAAAAAAATGTATGTACCTACCTCGATATCATCTTTATGTTTAAGAATTGGTGCTTCCATGATGTTTCAAAGGCAAAAAGAATCAGATTCTATGTCAAATTGATGTCCTGTTGTTTCAGTAATACGATTCCAGTGTCTTTGCTTCATTGCTTTGTCCGTCATCATTTCCAACAATGGACAAGACTCACTAAAATCATCAATTTTTTTCTTGAGATCTAAAAATGCTTGCCAGTGTTGGAGTCCTTTAGGTAGTCTACGGCACCTGAATTTGAATTAAATTGATAGAGTAATAAATGTCTGTCTTGTCATAATAGGAATTATTTAAACATTTTAAATCAGACAAGGAGATATGGATTAGCTTGCATTGAAGTCAACATTCTTCTACATAGAATTCCCATTTGCATCAGTTTATCTACCTTTTTAGGAAAAACCAATGCAAATTCCCTACTAACAAATCATAATGGTTTTAACAATGAATATGTTTTTTGCAAATGAATAGAAACATTGCAGTTCACATTAAAGCTTATCTGCTGCTTATCATCACAAACTCCTTATTGGCAAACAAAAACCAAAGCAAAACTAGTTAAATTTCATATATGTAATCCTTGTACGAATATAATATTTACTTCAGTTTACAATACCAGTAATACACATGACATATTAACATACCACTTCCATGATAGATGTGAAAAATCAGAAAGATAGACCACTTTCTCCTGTACTTTTGGTTAGTGGTCTTGAAACTATTCACTACCAAAAGGAAAATTATATACTTCTAATGTGAAAAAACCCCAGTAAAACAGTTAAATGAAGATTCACCTCTCTGACGGCACTTTTACAGAGCCTACACGCTAAGATTTAAGCAGGAACCTGCCACAGGAATGTCCTAAGGTAAATGATAAAGTATAGCTTTATAGCAGGAAAAATAATACAGCCTGGATCATATTTCCCTTGGGATTGTATCCTTTGTCACTTATCTCCCTACCTCCCACTGATATAATTTCATACTTTCTCCAATCAGGTACAACTCAGCAGTCTGTCTGGTTTAGAGCTATGTTGGTGCTGTGTGGCTGCCACTAGATTCACACTGATCAGCTCCCTGGCTGCTGTCAAACAGGATGTGGACTGTTTAATATGAAAGCACTAAGGGCTAGTTCAGGCCAGTCTGTATACAGATAGAGCAAATTCATTCCGGAGAGAATGTTTCCATATGGAAAGAAAATAGTCATCTTAATTCACAAATTTCCTTTTTTCCACTGTTATTTAATTGTAACTAGAACACAAAAAGGCCTCAAACATTGTGTGTTATTTTATATATACTACTAATTCATACAATTAAAGATTTTTTAATTATATAAAGCCCTTAAAACTGTCTAATTTTCTTGAATTCTAACATGCTTCAAGTAAATGACTTCGTTAGTCTATTTAGTGGTTTTAAAAAAGGTGCTAATCCTTGCCAAGTCACACATTAATGAGTGCAGAAATAAAGTTTGTCATGTTTTGGAGCTGTACTAACCTGAAAGGGGTTAGAACTGAATGAAGAAAGGAGAAGGGGGGGGAAGAAAAGAAAAAGAAAAAGAAAAAGAAAAAGAAAAAGAAAAAGAAAAAGAAAAAGAAAAAGAAAAAGAAAAAGAAAAAGAAAAAGAAAAAGAAAAAGAAAAAGAAAAAGAAAAAGAAAAAGAAAAAGAAAAAGAAAAAGAAAAAGAAAAAGAAAAAGAAAAAGAAAAAGAAAAAGAAAAAGAAAGAAAAGAAAAGAAAAGAAAAGAAAAGAAAAGAAAAGAAAAGAAAAGAAAAGAAAAGAAAAGAGAAAGGACAATCTAGAGATTCTCCTAAACCTCTTGCCTCCAGGTATGCTTTCAGTGTAAGCTGCTGCTCCAGTTACACTGCTGATGTTGAAACAGGAGCCCTGTCTCCTTTAAGAACTACAGGTAATCTCAAATAGAAAATAAAGCAGCATTTATCATGTCCCTCCTTCACCTCTGATGAATTGCTGAGACAAATGAGGGTCAATATAGACACCAATATCCCTGAAATCTAATTAGTCCCTTTTGTCATAACAATAGCTGAGCATTTTAAAGCAGATTTAATTGACCGGAAAAGAAAAAAATCCACTCCAACCATACATATCGTTTAATGGGAGGGATTTAATGCAAATCCAAGTTCTCTTTCTGTCTGAAGACCTATCGAGGGAGCTGGTCACTGGAAAAAAGTCTCTAATTGCTCCATCCTTGTCAGCGTACTCCATAGATCTCATTGGTCAGACATAGACATATGCCCCCAGGTGTTGCTGAAGAGTAGTTTAAAGGTGATGAAAATGGTTACTTGATGATGTTATATTTTGACACAGCAGAGGAAAAGGCAATGACTGACCAATGAAGATAGTTTCCTGCCACCCTGCCTGAAGCCCATTAAAGAGGTTAAAATCATACAAAGAACATCAGTAGAATAAAGTCCCAGCTCCGGACTACCAAAACCAAAAAGCTTTCCAAGATGTTAAAGACTTTCCAAAAGGAATCACAACAGAGATACAGCTGTGTGGCAGATCACTGATAGGGTAACTTTTTGCTTTATGTAAGTGTTCCCTGTTTAACTTAAATCTTGTTATAAGCACCTAGACTTGCATTGATGCAGAATATGAATATGGATGTTTTATCCAAGGTCCAGAGTGGCACATTCCAGTGCACAGTTTGAAAATGAGCTTCTATAATTGTCTCACTGAACATGGTTCACCTTTCATTTGCCTTTAGGCTGTGTTGGGTGTGCTAGTGGACTCCTGCATTTGCATGTGCTCAGTGAAGCAGCAGAGAGAACCTGATGGTAAAAAATATATTTGGGCTCTTCGGGATGCTTGCAAAACATAAGGAGATAAGCTTAGAAATAAGATTAACTGTCTGACTAAAATGGATGCAGGTTTAACTGCAGTGGGAAGATTCACATGAACAAACACTTTAAGTGTTTTATAATCTCTTCTCACAATGCAGCCAGCAACTAAAAAAAATCTAAACTGAAATCTAAACTAGCTCTTGCTCCATCTCAATATTTCAATGAGAGCTAGTCTACAATCATTGTTTATGGTTTCAACTATATTGTTATGGCTACATTCCACCATATGCAGTTAAAAAGATAAATTAACAAGCTTACTTTCCCTGAAATTAAAATTGAGAATCAAAATCTGACGATTTTTCCAAATTTTTTTTTGCTTATTGTTTCTCAGTGTTCTAACACTTATGTAACCCTGAAAAGGTATTTCTGAAAAAATAAATAAATTTTTCAGCTAATTAAACCAAAATAAATCCAACAGATTAATTCAAGATAACCCACAATTTGTCTCTGAAGAAAAGTGAGCTTATTCACAAATATTTACATGTGGCATTTTTATTGAAGTCAAAATTTGAAATAAGTGGAAAAAACCCAAACAAACAAACAAAACAAAACCCAAACACTTACTTTCCCCTTTTTTGGCTACTTTTCCTGGTGATCCAAAGACTGCTGAAGATACTTGCTGGGTGCCTGATTCTGATTTTAAACTAGAGTTTTGCAAATGCCTCTGTCCCCACTGAGCAACTCCACGACTTACTTCCAGTATTAACTGAATCATGCGATTGTTGGCTTGCTGTATATCGTTTAAACTGGGAACCATTACCTATATAAAACAATTGAAATGTGTTTAAAATAAATGTTATTTTCTAAAACCTCACTTTTACTCCACTCGTAGTGAATTGCGGAACTTGCCCCAGAAGAAAGACTGGAAAACATAACTTTAACAGTTTGGCTCAAAATTGCCTCTAAGGAAATGCAATATACTGTACTGACCTACTGTCTGTTTGTACAGTCATGCTGTGGGTAAAATGACAAGGAAGGGTGTAAATAGATAGATTTATTGGTTTTCCTACAATTATCTTTACAATCCCTATAATATTTTAAACATAATTTTTATAATGATTTTTAATCGTGTGTAGGAACATATTATAAGCCTTGTCTCCCGCATTCTAGAGTCATAAAGCGCTAACTATTGCAGGCCAAGATCTTCCTCTCTGTTGCTCTTAATTGCTGTATCCAACATCTGTGAGAGAATTACAAGAGAGATGGTCATAAAAATACATATGGGCAGCTCATTTTAAAGATTTACAGCTATATAACCTCTCCTTCTAAGTGCTTATCCATACATATATTCACACCATGGGTAATTTCAGGCAAACAAAATCACCCAGATCAAAGTGTCAAAGATCCTAGTTGAATAAATACCGAATGTTTCTTTTCTCAGAAAGGTGGCATTAACTCAAAAACTTGTGCAAGACTACAGTGTTTAGTAAATTAATGGAACTCCATGCAGTAGCTTGAAGATCTCAACTTGTATATTTGGCAAGGATTTTGCATCATAATTCTGAGACCAATCTAATACCCAAGTCAGAAGAGGAAGAAAACTCACGTTCAACTACCAGAGTACATGTCCAAAAACAACTGGAAAGAAAATAAGGATTCTTGATCTGTATCAAGAAAAACAAGCATGTAGAACAGGGTCAAAACACAGGTGCTGGTCTCCTAACATCCATACTGTATAAATGTATGCTCCCTTACCCTAGTTTGGGATGACCACTCTCCCAGAAAAAAAATTCAGGCATAGTTTGGCACGTAAAACACAACAGGGGCTGTTCCTAACACAAAGTTTGAATGTAAACTCCTGGATCCAGGAAGCATTTACTATTGTGGATGCAAACCATTTCATGTCAGCTCACTTTAAGGTCAAAGAACAGCCCCTAGCCTGTTTTATTCAGTAGTACACACAAAGTCATATAGTTCTGGACCAAAAACTTTTTCAATTGTATTGGCAGCAATAATGTTAATTGTGACTCTCTCCTGTCCTTGTTTAATTCTATGTAGGATAAGGTGGAGTAAAGGCACACATCAGTTTCTTCAAAATACTGAGCAGGAAGAAGGACTTAACTGAGAGTGATCCAGGAAAGTATAGAAAAACAGCATTTCCTGTTAAACTTCAGAAGAAAGATCACACTTGTGATGTGTGCAATCCTCAAGTATAGTCCTTAGAATATCATCTTATATCTTTCATGTGCAAGCTGTTACTCTGAACTGATGAAACCATCCAGAAGGGTGTTCAGAACTGGGATCTAAACTGCTTAAAAGCAACTCTGATGTTTTATAAATCTGTTTCACAGATTGAGCAGTGGCATGCATAAAACCAAGGATCTTGCAAAATCCTATTAGCATTAGCATTAGCGTCACGAAAGTATTTTACTCAGAATTACTTGATTACTGCCCTGGATCAGACAAGCATTCAGAAAGACTGGAAAGAAAGACAGATGCACTTCCCTTTGCATTGGGTGGAGCTTGAAGCTTTATGCTTATATGAATATAAAAAAAGTTTAAAATTCTACACTTTGACAGACCTTATATATCACGTGTACATATACACAGTGTGAACGTACAACAGAATGCTAATATAAACACCATTTCAATGTGAAAGGAATATCACCTGAGAACAGAACATCTTTCATTATAAATTCATTATTATAAAACTTTTAATATTTATAAAGCAATTGGATCATATTATTTTGCTTTCTTATATATAAAATAAAATATCATAAATATTGCTGACAGAGAGTTATCTTACTCTACAAAAGGAAGATAAACGCATGCATTGGTTCTCTGCAATTGAACTGCCTTTTTGTTCTCTGCACACAGAAACCCACAGCTCTTTTCTTGGTTTTGAATATTCTCATTTTTGTCCAATGTTCCTCCTTCTCGTCTTCTTACTTCCTACTGAGATGACTAAAGCCAAACTGAGCAAAGATAATGCTCATTATTTCTATTCAACAAAGGATTTAAATCACACAAGGAACAAACCAGTTAAAATAAAACACAAACATAAAAAAATCTGTTCCAACATTGCAACTGCTACACGTGAAGAACTGTAATCATTCTGCAAAGAACATACTGCAATATAACAGCTGAAAACAATAAAAGGCCAGGTTCTGCAAGTACCACTAAGGCAGAAACCAAGCACATTGGGACTGTGAGCACATTTCATCCGTGCCCTTAGTGCACTGAAAGGCCAGAGCAACTGTTCTCCGCTAGTATGGATGCTGGTTCAGTAGAGGTGTGCCTACATCCTGCACTTGGGCAAATGCAGAGGTAACTATAAGACAATGTATTTTACCTTACCTATGTGACACATAACTTACCACATTGGGAATAGCAAGGTGTACTTCTGCTTTTAGAAACGCAACAGCCTCTTCAGATTTGCTCGGGCAAAGAGAAAACTTACTTCTCCCAAATGTAGTTTTGCTGAAAATAATTTTGAAACATGTCATAAATACTTCACCATAAGTATTCATGTCATAATACATGAAACATGTCATAAATACTTCACCATACTTCACCATGTCATAAATACTTTCACCATGTCATAAATACTTCACCTCAACTTATCTTTGAAATATAAATTTGAGCTACCTTCCATGAGGGTTTGCCTAGAAAAAAAATTCACATTAAGTTATGAACTACTTAACAAAACTTACAGAAGCTTCTTTTTTAAAGGTTAACGATAACAGTCAGAGCTGCATCATTCAGACAAAGGTTACCTTGAAACAAGCCATTGCTTTCAGAATTTTTTATCCAGAATATTTTCCGATTCTGGATTTTAATCTCTCAATTTAAGAATGACAGAACTCTGCCAGTGCTTTGAATAGGGTATAAGAAGGTCTTACTGACCATTGCATGCAACAACCTATAAAGAGTAAAATTTGCCTCATTACGTTTTAGATAAATATTCAACAGAATAAGGAAAAAAGTTTCAAAGATGACAAGATAATGCAAAATGATAAATACATGATTCAAACCCAATCAAAACTAAAACTAAATCAAAGTGCAAAGTGCAATTTCTACATGCTATGACATGGTGACCAAACGAGGGAAGATTCAACAATATGATACCGTAGAGAAATATAAAAAACCACACCTAAATAAATTCTATTAACTTCAATAAGATCATGCTTCAATACTTTTTCTGTTAAAGATGTCCTCAGAAAAGATAACTCAAGTTTCAACACCCATTAATGACAAAACACCATCAACTTCACCTGCTTAAATAAATCCTCTTAATAGAATTCTAAGTAGGCTTTTCAATACACAATATGTTATAGTGAAGCAGTTCTGTCTCTGAAGTATATGCCTGTTTGAGCACAGAAGTATCTATAGGAATTATACTGAATATAGGAGAATGATAAAATTGTATGGATCTTGCCATTATCAGACAGAATTCATAAGGAGTGAATTCTGGTGATCTTTAACCCATAAGAATCAACTCTGAGTGCATAGCCATGCTTGCTCTCATCATGCATGTAGAAATAATCTGAAATGAGATGAACATATGGGCACCCTACCATATATGACCTAGAATGGTCACTTAAGTTCTAGTAATTTGTGTTGGACAATAAATTGTACTAACAGCATCTTGAAAACAATCCCAAGGGAAATATAAACAAAAGGGTGCAGGCAGAGGGAAAACAATATGAGAAATAAACTCCATTTTCTGCACAAAACAAAGTGCATAGACTATAACTAACAACATAAAGAATTAAAACATAGAAGTGTGGGTCCAAAGCATCACTGCAACAAAAAGTGAATGCTCTCCAGGTTTCACTTCAGCCAAGAGAGCCAAGAGTCTGGAACTGTTTGACTAATGATATATGTGTATCATTACACATATGAATGTGTATTTGGATTATGATATTATCAGAGAAATAATTTTTTTCTGGTAATACTATTGAAGAAATCTTTCCTTTCCAACTTACCTTGAAACAAATATTCTTTTTCTAAGCCTGTCCAAAGTCAGTCGAGTGGCCTTCTGAAGGCTGTCTAGCAGCTGGTGACTGAAATAGGCAACCATCTCTTCACATTTCTGTAATAAATAAACCATCCATTGAGTTCAGACAGGAACCTGAAGATTATTTCAAAAGGTGTTCAGTCAAGCATATTAGTTCTTGTCTGAAGGAATTTATGCTGTATGCTACATGAGAAACACAAGGGGAGAAACTGGGGGAAAATTAGCTAGCAAGTAAGTAAATAAGTAAAAGCTGCATGAAAAAGTGAATATAGCATCTGAGAAAACATAATTTGTCTTATTCAGAGACAAAATACTAAGATCTGACTGAAGTCTCATACTCCTTCAGAAAAGCTCTTCATATAAAAAAAAATCACAAATTATCCAAGAGTATTGCTGCATAGGTACTCTGTTGAAATAAGAGACAAATACAGTAAAACCTGATTGGACTGGATAAAGAAAAACAAAAATACAGTGACAGGTAATGACCACTAGCACAAAAAAACAGAACGTAACCTTGTAATGTTGTTGCATTTGGGCTTGCAAATTTGTGAGTTTGCGAGTTCTCTACTTCCACTTCCCTTCTCTGCAGAATATGAAGAGATCGTATTCTTCAAAGTACAAAAGGTGATCTTTCACGACGAGGTTGGAAAAGGAGGATGGAAAGGATGAATGTTTCTGCCCATCCAAGAAGGAAAGCCTGTGTTATGGCTTAGGCATGATATTCTCTCCAAACTTTCACACTTACCACTCAGATACCGAGAAATTGTTTAATAAAGGTGATAATTGGAATAACATGGAATATACTTTTGAAAGATAAAATCCATCCTAAACTCACTTTGTAGGGAAGCAATTTCATCATTTTTACATGACATTTGATATCCTTTATGTGATGTCTGTCTGTAACATGGATATCCAGCTACCACAACTCAAGATACTGTTTACTAATCTAATAAATCTGAGAAAATTTCCCTTCTTATCACAAAATACCTTTTTAAACTCACCTTCTTTACTACTGCCCTTTTTATTATCACCATCAAGAGCTGCAGAAGTATTCTTTTCTCTCTCCTCTTCAATATTTCCAAACACTATATGTTTTTCTTTTACTGTAAATTAAAAAAAAAAAAGTAATTTTTGTTAACTGAATATTGTGTTCTTCTTTGAAGAATGCTGTTCCCACTCTTTTCAGGCAAAACAATATTGCTTTTTATTTGACTAGCACCTGGATCAGCTAATTGGTTTTATTTCAGACCTTTTTTTTTTTTTTTAACCCCAGAAATCTGATTTAAAGCCCAGCCTATAAATCTCAGCCTAATGAAGTCCATACACTACAGATGCATTATTAAAGAGAGGTAGGCAGACATGGATATATCAGCTGGAAATGGCAAAAAAAAAAATCAATATAAACGATTTAACAAAATACAGAGAAATATCTTCAAGTTTTTCCTGATTGCATCATATTAAACTACCTGGAGTACTGTCCATGACTATGCCTTTATACCTGGAAGAAACTAAACCCAGAAGGAAAAAATCCTGTGTAAGAAAAGAAGCTCCATTACTGGTTAAGCCTCAAAATATATTTTTCTTTAAAACAGAATATTTTTTTCTAACTGTAAACTATTTCTTCTGTAATGGTACAGGAGCTCCTAAAATCTTCATAACACACCCCAGAGGACTGCGAACCAGCCATATTGATCAGCTGCGAGTCTTGTATGTGAGCCGCTGATAATTGACCGTACTAATTTAAACTGACCTGCCAGTAAAGCACTGGTATTTGAGGTACAATTCTACTGTGGCAGAAAAGTCACAAAGAGAGGGACAGTACCAAATACCTGTCATAGGTGAAACAAGAGGAACACTGTATTTCACTTATGGAAGGCAGGGGACAGGGAAAGGTTATAATGAGTGATTAAGAAAAATGGAACCATAGTATTCTTCCTCTAGAGCAAATCCCTTGGTAGTCTATACTGAAGGATGGATTATAGTTCTAGAAATTCCACCAATATATAATTACTTCTGTATTTTATAGGCTAGTGGTTTAGTTTAACAGTGGCAAATGAAGGCAGAACTGTGACACAGATGAAACTGTAGTGGGAGGGGGACGTCTGAAGAAAATTAGCTAAAGCAATTCAACTTTGATATGTACTACCTAAATCTACAGAACAAAAGACAGAATTTTTTATTTAAATAATCAACATTATCTACCTGGCAATACATGTTTTTCTGAGGTTTTCTTAGAGTATTTAATATCATAATTCTTTTCAAATACAGATATTAGTTCTTGAACAGTACCCTCAATGTGCATGCTTTTGTGGTTCAATAACTCAGCACATTCTTTAGTATAAGTCTGTTAAATAAAAATATAAATTAATTATCTTAGTATCACTATTACTGTTCTTCTTCATGGAGAGCTGAAATATTTCCCTGAATATTGCTTTCTTCAGACTGGGACTATTCCAATGAAACAGCAACATTTTAAAAAAGAAAACTGAGAAACCAAACACAAAATCTTTACTCAAAATTATAAAAAATCTTCTGTTATATTATCACTATATCTTTAATGTCTTTTTTTTTTTAAGATTTCCATTTTTTAAATGTAATAGAATTTTTATAGACCCAAAGAATACTGAAAGGGTGTCACAGTCCAAATCTGAAATTACCCAAATATGCTTTAAACTGTCCTTACCAATTTTATTTACTTTCACTGATTTACTAAACACATTTTTAGACTCATTCAGAATCAAGAAAAAGTTCAAATTCTCAAATATACTATTTGGAAAGTACATTTTGCCTTCTCCTTAAAAAAAATAGTTTGGAAACAAAAAAATTATCGATGAAATACTACAACTTAAGTATCTCAAATACCTATGAAGCTATGTATCTTTGCATCAAATATTTTAAACAAAATATTTTAATTTTCAAAAGTTCTGTATTTCTCCATATGAGAAGTATTCTTTGATAGTTTTATATTAATTTACTATTGCTATTGTTTCTAACATGCTCAAGAATTCAAGTTCAAAGATGTAAAGTGGCACACACCTCATTGCAGGTCAACATATTGTCTACTTCCATAGGACCATCTACTGGTAAGACAGTTAAAAGAGTATTCGATATTTCTTTTAATATTAAATTAATCCGCATTTCACTTAAATCTTTAACCTAAAAAGAGAAAATCATATTAACACTATACATTTATCTTTAAAGCATAACGTATTCTACCTTAGAGAGTTCTAACAGGTATACATTGTTTTGCAAAACAATAAAAATTGTATCTCTCTAGGCAGCAAAGAAAATCCTCTAAGAAAATTAATCTTAACAGAAACAACCTTTAGTGTAAAAGCACCATCACAAAAGCTATCAAGATGAAAGAAGCCGAGAAGGAAGTACAGCAATGCCTCATGAGTTACGGTAACTTAGGGGATATTTACAATGGCTAATTAAAGTCTGCTTTTACTGTGAATTATCCTCTTTTTCTATTATCTACAGAAGGAATTTAGGGAGAGAAAAGTACTCTACAAAAAATTTTGCCTTTGGTAACATGTTCCCTTTCAGACAAACTGGAAAACAAACAATGAAAGAACAGATATGACTGTAAATTATACCATTACTACTGCCACAGAAAACAAGAACTCAGTTGCTAACAGTATACGTATTTAAAACCTGCAGAGTGTGAAAACACTATTCTAAAAAGTCTTGTAATTCTTAAGTATCTGCTGGTTCCCATGTCGGGAAACTGAGACATATAAATCCCTGAGAAAGTGAAATCTTTAGAGACATTTGGTGTTTTCACCTACTTCTTCACAGATCTCTGGTTATCAGCACCATGTGTTTAAAATCACGGTATAAGTGAAATTAATTCACAGACAGTATGAGCCAAGACTACCTCTGCATCATATCAGCAATGATCTGATTTTTGAATGATGTTCTCGTGACAGCTTTTTAAGATGATCACTGTTGTAGATTAGATGAATGAGTAACAATGAAAATAATGCCCAGTTTCACAGCATGCCTGTTATGAATACAGTTAATGCTAAGAAGTTCTCCACTGGACAGCCTTTACATGGAGGTTATCTTGTGTGCAACCTCACTCATAAGACAAGCACACAAAGAGAAGCCGAGGTTGACTGAAAATCAAAGTGGTAGTCACAGAATCTGAGGACAAAAACTGGAAATACAAAGCAAAGATCAAACATTTAAGTGCAATAATTCTTCAAGAAAATAACATATTTTAAAAAGAAAGTAACATTTTAATCTATTTCAAGTGGTACAAAAATAAATACAGCTTAATTTCCAGTATGAAAAACAGTGTACTGGAAATAATTTCTCTAAACTATCGTTTCATTTATATAATGATCAAGTGTATACCTTTTTCAAAAACTGTTTAAACATACACAGAACTTGATAAGCTTCTTGAAAGAAGCTTTCTAGTGTCACAGATGACCAAGTCAACATGGTAAGTCCTTGCCTCAACACAGCTTCCACCTAAGCAAAAAGATACATTTTTGTAGATTAAGATAAAAGAAACAATTTAAAACAAATTATTAGAATCACTAAGGCCACTGATGAAAGAAAGAGTTGTGTCTGGTTTTCAAGGAAAGTTATAAGTTTTCAAGGAAAACATCAAATTAATTTACAGAAGATTTGGGAAGGGGAGGGTAGTGCATATTACAGCCTCTGTTCACAGCTGTCAAGCGTAGATGATCAGCAAAGATCTTCCCTTCCTGTTCTCCTGGATCGTATCTCTCAGTGGTTTCCACTACTTACTAAAATTAAAATCAAGTCCACTATTGATCTTACAATTCGTTCTTTAACATGTATATTGACCATTCTCAACAGCATAATTGCTTGTCTTTCACCTTCATGTATTTATCTAACGACATTTTTCGTTCATCTCTTTTTCAATCACACTGATCCTCTCCAAATTTTGTTATAGCCTTCATGCTATTTCTAAAAGTACTCTTTTCCTTACTATTACCCTTACTGAATTCTTGGTAGTCCATGGTCTATTTTTTCTGTATTTATCACCAAGGTGTTCAGCACGTAGCTAATATCAGCTCATTTCCCTGTCACTGTATGATCTACGTCAATGTACTTCTTTCACTGCAGCTCCTGTACCTTCAAAGGAGATGGGACTCTGAGGAAAAGAAAGTCTTATACTGCTGCCAGGCTATGAAAATCAACCTTTCCAGACTCTCCCACAGAGCATCCCCAAAGTTTTTTCCTAGCACTCCAAAACTTCTCACTGATTTCCCTGTATTTAGCCACCACAATTTTAAATTTTGTGATCTCCATCATTCTTGAAGTGACAGAAAACTAATTTTGCTTAATTACTGAGCAGTTTTGAACTGATTCTACTCATATTCAATTTTAAGTAGCCAACTATCATATCTGCTCTTTTGTCTCGACATTTACCAAGTCACTGCCTGGACTTCACCCACTGTCTTCATCCTAATGCTTCTATTAGCTATGTCTATATCACAGTTAAAACAATGAATTCAGCTCAAATAGATACACACCTATTTGCAAATATAGCCATTAATAACACTTTAATATATATTTTGGGAGAGGGGGTGAGAATATATTTAACTCCACAATGCTGTTATGGTACTGTTACAGGTAACCTACACAGCCAATCTAGAAACAGTTTAAGGCTCTGCGTGAGTCACTGTCAAGTTATAGCACCAACTTAGCCATAGGTTATATTTGCTCATTCCATTCATGGATTTATGCTTTCCTCTCTTGCTCGTATACAACAAAGACTTATCTCCCTTCAGAAAATATTTTCATCTTCTGTGGTTTGAACAATACTCATCCTTCTCTTTTCCCAGTTGTTTCTTCTAAATTCCTCTATGATATAATTATCTTTAGAGTAGTATCACTAAAGTGAAGACTATCATCACTTTATCTTTGTCTTTTGTTATTTAACTCTCAAGAGTAAGGACAAGTTTCTTGTTTCTCACACTTTGGCACATGCCAACTATGTAGTTACACAAACTAATGCCAATTCCACAACCTTCTGATATTATTTACAACCCAAAAGGGAAGAGTTACTTAGAACAGCGACATACATACACTTGCAAGTGTCTAGCAAAACAAAATGGCTTGTATTCTGTATCTCCAATAAAACTGCACCTTTAGTGTAATATATAACCTTTCTACATCACTGGAGAGGCTGACTCCATTCACAAGGCTAATAATTCTCTCCAAGAAAAGACAAGGATCATGACATTTAGTATTTCAGCTAAATGAAAAGCACAACTTCCCGTGAAAACCTCTAAAACTGAAATAAGTGATAATTTACTTCCATGTCAAAGCCGAGAGACCTGTGTAAATAAATAGGCCCACAAAGTCCGTACAATTTTTTCTACTGCATTTACATTTCATAGGCACTAAGATTCTACTGTAGTACATGTTATTTCAGCAATGTATGAGGGATGCTTTTTTGGGTTTTAAAATTCATTAAGTTCACAACATGCAGCTCCACCTAAATATTTTATAATTATAAGATGTTATTAAGTTATCCTAACTTCTTCTGAAGTATACTGAAATGCATTTAGCAATACGAACCTTTTTCATTTTTGGTGCCATTAGATTTACAAAAATCGTTGGTGTTTCTTGACGCAAACCTTCATAAAGCTGGAGAAGACCCTGTTAATTATTAGGAAGTGTAGAATCAGGAAGAATATTTTAAGTGCTTTATTTACTAAAGAAAAAAAACTGTTACAAAATCAAATAATCAGAAAAAACATGGAAAGCAGTGAAAGACTACATTTGAGAACAAGTGTAGAATTTTACACAGACATTACATGCCTACGTGCATGATTTCAGGAATGTAATGAATCTGTATCGTGCTACTTGAGGAAGAATGAAAGCAGCCTTTGTGAAACATGTTCTTTATGTACAAAGTCAGACAAAGCAAGATCTTTCTCTAGAGCTAAGGCCAGTTTGAGATTTAGTGACCGCAACTTGCTATACCTTCTTGAAGACAAGTATCATCTGCTTTAGACAATTAAGGTGACAAATAAACTCAGTTTTAAAATACCCTTGTCTGATGCTTTACACACACAAAAATCTTGTATGGTACACCTCATCCTCAAGATGTAAGCCTCTTGAAATATTACAATAGCAAGTATTACAACAGGTATCAGAAATCTGACTTCTCTAGCAGGTAACCTGTAAATCTCTTGATGTGTTTGTGGCTCACCATATCTTCCAATCTAGAAGATTTCCAATCTTTGCTTCTCAAAAAACTCTGTAAAGCTGTGTTATAGTGAATTTCAGAGAGTGAACACTTTTTGGATAGTTTCAATTAATTTGTCACCAGAATATATTTAAGATGCCACAGGGTATATAAAATATATATGCTTATACTTAAGTATATACTAGCCGACAGACCAGTTAGTACAGACTTTTCAAATGAGATCCTCTATGTCCACCAGGACATTTCACAAATTTACCTTACACTACCTCATACCAAGCTTTAATTTTTATTTAGCCAAAGCAAGATTTTTATGGTTAATCAGATTTTATTTTTTTTAAACAGCAATTATGACAACTTTTAAGTTTACCTCTGCACGCAACATTTTTGACATCAGGATATTTTCTATTTTTACTATCTTTTTTGCTTCTTTTGGTACTTCCAGACCCAACTTTATCATACATTTAGTCTCTCGGACAATCTCTCGAATTTGGGGATCAAAATTAACCAGCAACTTCCCAGTTTTTGGATGATATGCAAATATTGTGGCTTGTAAGGCTGTAAAGACATTTTTATATGAGTTTCTAAGACAAACAATTGTTTCCGTTATATTAATACAGAACACAGATTTCTGATATTACTATACAGTAATTAATGTATTATATATGGTTACTTGTGAAATAATTTCACATTGTTTTCAGTTAAAGAAAATACACAACTGACCTTCACCATATTAGCTTTCTACCATATGTAATCTTGCTCCACATAAGTTAAACAAGCAACAAATACAGTCTTATTTGTGGCATATTTTTCTTAGCTTGAGTTAGAAAACAATGAAATTCACTTTCTAAAGATCTGGAAACACAACACTTACTTAGATGATGTTCAGTATCTTACAGGAATTTGTTAACTCAGAGGATGAATGCTTACATATGGACATTGCAAAAATCCAAAACAAATGCACAAACAGCAACACAAAAACCTCTGTTGACTGATGACAAAATTTTATTCTTATGGTTGCACTTACAGTTTTGAGGCCCATGGAGTGCCTACAATTTACACGAAAAATCTACTGAAAAAAAAATATTTTTTTAATCTTTAAACCTTATTTAATCTTAAAATGATAAAACAATTATCAAAAATTTTTTCTAGTCATAAAGTAATATTTGTCCTGAGTGTGACTGGGATAATACAACTGTATAAGTTATTATAGTGGAAAGAAAACAGGAATAATTATTAAATGGCATACATAAAGAATTTGAATACAAAAATGAACAATTGTATGCCTTAAATTTGTTTCTCTATTGTTTCCAGTCATCTGTCAAAGATGTACCATATCTCCAATTCTGTGCATCAAAACCAAGTTTCAAGGTCAGTAAAGGACAGATATTTCTAATACTGGGCCCGCTTATTGGTTCATGATTAATTTGCACATTTTAAGGGTAAAGGGGACTTAAAAAGTTATCTGTTTTGATTTGTGTTAACTCAGCATTCAATAACAGTACAAAAAAAGCCAATAACATATTTAATTACTTACAATGTTTTAATTGTGAAATTAGCTTCATCCACATATTATGATACGATACCTCATATTCCACCAATACATAGGCAATTCTGTTGTATAACTGAACAATTGCTTTACCTTCTGGACTTGCCAAGATATTTGATATTTTCTATTAAAACAAAGTACATTCAAATGAAAACGAAATTAAAAGAAAATCATACTATTTGGGGGTTTCTCAATTTAACTCTTGACTATATATTATGTAAGTTAATATTACAAATTATACTTACAGAGTTCTTAAAAACTGTATCAAGTATTTATGATTCAAATTTGTAGCAAAGTCAGTAAAGACTTGTAAGTAAAACATACTAAATATTTAACACATGTAAGAGCAATTACTTTATTATACTGTGATAAACACTTGCAATTCAAAGTGAAGTGAATGCTAACTTCTACTCAAAATTGGAACAGTAATTAAAATCGATCTTCAAAAATCTCCTTTTTTAATCAGTAATGACACTTATGTCTCTTTTCTTTGGAGCAGAATTAGGTGATTGTTATTCCCATCTGAGGGAAAAAAAAAATCCCTCTTACATGAAGTTAACTTGGCAGGACACCCTAGATAGTTCGTAGGAGAATCATTCAAACATTTCAAGAAATATTACTGCTATAGTGGATCCTAGTATAGCAAGTTTCTGGCTATTCCAATGAAGAAAGGTAATCCAATACCAAGAAATTCATAAGGGTCATAAATGTTAAAGCTTATATGGCTGGTACCAACCTTCAGCTGTATGTTAAGTGGTACAGAAAATGTAGAATGAGAAGTTCAGTAATGGAATTCCCTGTTCCCAGACTAGTTCAGAAACCATGTGCAGTGAAACTGGTGGATAGATTCTCAATTACAGTACTGCAGCTATTGTCTGGATCATTACAATAAGCTTGGTTTTCTGTGGTACCAGTACTTATACCCCAGACAATTTCAGGTAGCCCACATTTATGACTTCCAGCAGACATTTGGTAAAGATCATGATCCTCCATAGAGAGCCCTGTGGGGCTAGAGGAACAGATGAGGTGGGTACTCAGTTGAAATACAGGACATGAGTCCTATGTACAAGCCCTGGTCTGATCCATTACAAAAAGTACACCACCACCACCATCATCTGGAATGGTGAAATATTTCTTTGAGCAATATGAAGACAGACGTATGAACAATTCAGTGCATATTTCCAGCTTGGGGTGCAAGTTCAGAGGTAAGTCAAAGAAATAGGGTTTTTTTTATTTTAGTAAGGTTTTTGATACTGTCCCTCACAGCATCCTTCTGGACAAGTTGCCCAACTGTGGGATGAGTGGGTTTACGGTTCACTGGGTGATTAACTGGCTGAAGGCCAGAACTCAAGAGGTCGTGGTGAATGGGGCTACATCTGTCTGGCAACCAGTCACCAATGGTTGTCCTAAGGTTTCAATTCTAGGGCCAGTTCTGTTCAATGTATTTATCAACAATCTGGATGCAGGAGCTGAATGCACTATTTGCAAACTTGCTGATGATACCAAACTGTGAGGTGCTGTTGACTCTCTTGAAGGACATGAGGTTGCAGAGGGATCTAGATAGATTAGAGCATTGGGCTGTGATAAAAATTAACAAGTCAAAATGCCAGATTCTGCACCTAGGATGGAGTAATACCTGAGATTTGGAGATGAGTGGGTAGAGAGCCGCCCTGCAGAAAGGGATCAGTGTGCTCTGGCAGCCAAGATGGCAAACCGCATCCTGGGGTGCATTACGCACAGCACAACCAGAGGGGATTATCCCCCTGTATTCAGTGTTGGCGCAGCCTCACCTTGAGTGCTGTGTGCAGTGCTGGGCCCCACGATGTAAGAAGGATGTGAAAATCCTTGAGTGCCTCCAGAGGAGGGCAACAAAGCCAGTAAAAGGGATGAAATACATGTTCGATGAGTGGCTAAGGACTTTGGGCTTGTCTAGTCCAGGAAAAAGGAGGCTGAGGGGCAATCTCATTGCTCTCTACAGCCTCCTCAGGAGGGCAAGAGGAGAGGGAGGGGCTGAGCTCTTCTCCCTCATATCCAGTGATAGGATGTGTGGGAATAGTTCAGAGCTATGCCAGGGAAGGTCTAAACTGGACATTAGGAAGCATTTCTTCACCTAGAGGGTGATCAAACACTAGAGGAGGCTTCCTAGAGAGGTGGTTGATGCCCCAAGCATGTCAATGCTTGAGAGGCATTTGGACAATGCTGTTAACAACATGATTTAATTTTGGCCAGCCCTGAACTGGTCAGGCAGTTGGACTGCATGATCAGAGTTTAAGGTCCCTTCCAACTGAAAATGTCTATTCTATTCTAACACTACATCTAGGATCTACAACAGTGGCTACTGCAGAGCATATTTTTTAAACTAGATATTCACATACAAATAAATAGGTTGCCTAGCATATGAGAAGTGACATTATGATAGCCAGAAACATTATTGTCACTCTACTGAAGTGAGACAGTACACATCACATCATCTTATTTTCCTCACATCAACTTACATGGAAATAGTTTATTGGTTCATTTATCCTTCTGAATAGCTGTCTCGCCCACAGTATCTTTCCTGCAACAGGTGGCATGTTTCGAGCAAGTGGAGGGTCATCTTTCTGAATTTGGTAAAGCTACCATAAGAACAATATCATTAAATACGTGGGTTAAAAAAAATCTGTTGAAATTTTAAACTGTTTTTCCTCTGTTACCACAATTTCTTTCTCTTCCCAAACAGATGAAATTTGTGTGGAATCACACTGTTCATTGAGAGAAAAATGTACTGCTTCCCCACTTGCTAGGCTTCTGAGATGCACACATTGATACAACTGTCAGTATGCCTCCTGCCTTCATTATCTCATGCTGTTTCTTAGCTGTCCTTACTTAAGACAGAGCCCTGGGAACACCAAAAGGCATTGCATACCGAGGAGCTGAGCAGCCAGAATTGAAGGCTAAGCCTGACAGGTGCAGCTGTGTAACTTTGGAGCCACTGGCTGTGGAAGTTAGAGGTGTAAGGAAGTGTTGCCAGAACCCCTGATGGGGCTTTGCCTCTTTGGCTTGGGAACTGTCTTCAGGAAAGCCCTAAGCTGTACTGTTAACTGAGAGGTTTTACCTGAATAGAAATGTAAACATTGTCCTTTGAACATATAGACCTAAATAATAACTAACAATTCAGGAATTGGACTTCATTCTTGTGGGTCCCTTCCACCTCAGGGTAATCAATGATTCTATGATAAGGTCTTTTCTACTACTCATCAGTAAACATTTAGACATTCCTGGGGGTAAACAGCCTATTCTTTCATCAAGGCCCCTGCTCACTGAATGGCTGCATTATAGTCAAGAAAAATTTGGCCAAAAATTATCGCCACCAAATTTTCATTGACAAATTATTGACTTTAGAACCAGTATTGCAGTAAGAACAACTTCTTATTAGAAATAACTTGCTTGGCAAAGATCAAAAGCATTCCAGTAATATCTAATAAATAGTTAGAACCAGTCAGTATAGTGGCAACATATTCATCAACAGAAAAAAGAGGAATACTTGTATCCAGCCAACTTTAGGCATGCAAACTCATGCTGTGATAACACAAAGGCTGTACTGCTTAAGCAAACACCACTCTTCACTTATTGACATGCCTTCTTATCCCCACACTGTCTCCTGCACAAACCCAGCACAAGACATTCAAATAGCTTCATGGTGAACTTATGAGAGGAAATGATCTATATGAAACCCCCTCAGAAAATGTACCTATTTCTTCTGTCTGGGAAAAAGCAGCCAAGAGAGGGGTCAGTGATTTCTTAAGCAGGCAGAGAGCTGAAAATATGTTCATCAGCTGAAGCCAGTAATTAGAGGTTCATGAAGTGTTATATACAGTGAGTAGACAAGGAAAGGAGAGTGTAAAGAGTGGTTCAAAGCAGATGAGCTAAGCTACAGTTTTAAGTTATTGTTTGGAGAAATCATTTTCTACTAAGTGCAGAGTTTACAAATACTTGGGTCCTCATGTAATCGTGTCTTTCATCTGACAAAATGTAAACATCTCTAATAAATATTCACATCAGTCTGTTTTTCTAGATTTCCTTTATACTCACCAAAGAAAAATGGCCGTTTCAAGGGAATTATTTAAATCTTCAGGTTAACATGTAAAGTAGATACGATTAATTGACTCTAGAGTACTCATTTCTTTCTTGTGTAGAAATAGACTATGGATGTGTATACTTCTGATACAGATGGATTCCTTGCAGACATACAAAATCTGGTTAGATTTAATCCTCTCTAAAAGTTTCAAGTCTAGTGATGTGAACAGTCCCTAGAAATTAATTCTCATTCATGCTACAGACATGGGACACTACGCAAATCAAGGAAAATCATTTATAATCAACATAAATGCAATTTACCTGCATTTTGTATCTATTTTATGCTGCCACAGCATTAGATAATACCCATGAATAAATGCAAATTAACTGTAGTGACCTCATATAATCAAGAAAACAAAAGGTATATGCAAGTAATGTACACAGACAGTAAAGAACATATTTTTTTCTTTAATTGATGAAGGAATAACAGAAAAGATTTTGGTTTAAAAAGTAAAAACGTGATGACAAATTTGCCTGCAAGAACATGTATTGACAATGCGTATTGACAAATATAATATAGCATACACAATCAGATCTGTTTTCTGTAACAGGAAAACACAAGTATGAGAAATTGAGCATTGACAGTTAGTGAAAGAGGCAGAATAAATAAAAATTATTCATATTAAAATCTTTGTTCTTATTTTAACATGATGTTTAAAATTAATTGCAAAGAAATGAAATACCTTTTTCGTAGCTTCAAGTTCTGCTACATAATGTTGAAGAATACAACCAACTCTAGGTACTGTTTCTTCCTGAAGGCATGGCATTCTCAGATTTTGAAACCTGTATTTAAAATGAGTACCCCAAATTATATTTCTAAAACAAAATATTTTAAAATTATTTTTTAAATTTATTTTTATTTTGGGGTACATGAACATTACATAAAATGAGAGAAGCACTAATCTAGGAAATGCTTCTGGATCTGGGAATTTTTTTTTACTTTGAGCAAATTTAACCAAGCTGAAAAGTTCTACCCTGGTGGGTTTTTTGGTGGAGGTGCTGTTGGTGTTATTTCTTAGTTTTTTTCTTTCAGTATCCTCTTGTATATATGAAATAAAATGTAATGAAATTAAGAAACAGGATAATATATTGATTCCCATAAGAAAACAAAAATGCATCTTTTAGGGTGACTAAATGGTTCAGAATACTCATAACAAAAATTTCCTGATTGGGCCCTTTGTTCTGAAGTTAGCTGTGTTATATAAAGTTTAGTAATCAGCAATTTAAAGTTACTTTGAAATATTTTAAAACATAATTTCCAATACCTTTGAAGTAACTGAAGTGCATGTTGTGAAGACAAAATTCTCCCAAAACAGGTACGCATAAATGTCTCTATCTGTATCTAAAGAATATATAATTTACTATAGTTTTTTCTGGTCATATAATACTATTCCGATATCTCATAATTTCTTAACATAGTAGCATTTGAAACTGTTGCTGCTTAAAGCAAAAAATAGCAGCCTTCAGTGGTCTATGCTTACTATAAGCAAAAAATAGTTAGTGTCTGTCAAGTAGTCTCTTAAAATGCCAGACAACTTCAGCGAAGAATCAAATCATGTATTGAAAACAGCTGTAACTTTGTTTTGCCCAAAATCTAACTACATGTCTCCAGGCTAATAAACCACCTCTGTGTAGATCATTCTCTCAGGTCTCATAATTTTTATCATTTTGGCTGCGGAGTGACTGATGTACTGTATGATGTATTTTACAGCTTCCTTTGTATAGAAGAAAAAGAATGGAAAAAGCCTCCCTCCAGACAAAACCAAACTCTATGCTCTTTGGAAAAAGAACTATGTAGCCTAATTACAGTCTAAAGTCTCACTGACATTCAGGGAGATACGGAGTAAGTCGTGATAAGATTGTTCCTCAAGTACATAACAGGTAGCAATATTACTTACCTCTAAATCTTCAATTTTTGCCATGAAGTTTGCAAAATCCACATCAAATTCTGTTTTTCATGGATCAAGGATGTCATATTGTGTCTTTTGAATGCTTTGGTAGATACTTTTGAATTTTACTGCTATAATATCTATCCCTTCAGTGGTAGATAGATTCAGTGCACAAAAAGTTTGTACTACAGTTATCATCTCTGTAATCTGAAATATAAACATTATATTCATGCTAATAACAAATTATTTGTTACTTTCTCTATAAACTGAAACCTGAGTAAAATAAAATAAACAGCACCAACTTTCCTAACTACTGCATTCAGAAATGTGTTGCTTCTGAGCTTCTAATTCAAGTGTCTTCAACAGAGCATGGTTAATTCAGTTTTTAACATCAGTTCTCACCAAAAACCCAATGAAAAGTAAAACCATACTGATTAATATATATACTGCATGATAAGAGCAAACATTAAAGACTCGCAGAATTCCTACCCTGTGATGACTGTCCTATCCTCTTATCCCTTGTCTGCCTTATTCTTCACCAAGGAACATTTATTATCTTTTCCACGTAAACTCTACAAATGCTAATTTAAAATCCCTCTGTCAGATTAGCAAGCTAAATATTAAGACTACACCCAGCAGCAGAATCATCTGAAGAAACATGTGGGATGGTAACAGGAGTTTTAAATGCCTTAGGATGTCATTCAAAAAAGAAAAAGTGTGTTCATTTTCACATAATTTTAAACCTCCTAAAATAATGATCTAAGTCTAGTTTAATTAGATTATTTGTCTCCACACTAACAGAGATATATTGGCAAATTTAGAATGGCATTGTGAGGTAATTGCTTAAAGTATTGGGATGACTTACTCTGCAGAAGTGCATAATTTCTGTCAATAGAGTTGCAAACTCCTTAAAAGGATGGTTAAGAAGACGGTGCAGGTTAATAAGTTTCCACCTTGTAAACTGTTCTTTGGAGAAACCCTTCTTCTCTACCAATAATAAAGGGACACAGTATACTCACTTTTTCTATCTCCTACAAAAAGATTCAGATTTTCCAAAAATGTACATTTCCGATACTTCAAATGTCTTCTCTCCTAGAGTTTCCAAAATTTCTTGCTTTGTTTCATGAAAGCATTTCTGATATTCTCTCAATAGAAGCATGCAATCCTAACAAGTGAAGGAATAATAAATACCACACTCATTATGCTATGCTTAGGGGTGAGAGACTGGAGAACTCACACTCATGGTCATTCCAATATGGTTAATTATCATTGACTCTAGTTTCATCCAACAGACAATAATAACTTGCTCACAGTGATTTTCGTTCAGTATGTGTAGCAAATATTTGCAACATCAGAACATACAATAGTACAGTGAAAGACTTAACACCGGGAAATGAGTCACAAAAAAACCCATGACGAATGTTGTAGTTCTTCTTAAAGCAAACAGTGGTTTAGAAGTCAGTGAAGAGCAGGTGATAACTTCTGCTCTAAAGGAGATATTTGAGCATTAAGAAAAGCCATTACCTTCATTAAAAATGGTCAGACTGTCCTCTGGATAAGGATGGAATTTGGCATAACAGGGTAGTCTGTTTGAAACCCCCAGGGTACTTAAAGGAAATTGGTTATACAAATTAATGTGTGTTGACAAGTCTGAGTTGAAGTAAGATTGAAAAATAATTCTTCTTTCTCAGTTGATTGTTTACTTAATAAGAAATTATTTACTTAATAAGGTCTTACTGAGACCTTATGAGATGTAAAACTAATAACTGGTGAGAAATGTAAAGTCTGTAATCATTGGGATACAAAATCTTCTGTCAGTTGTTGGGAAAACAGAAAAAAATTTTGTCACAATATACTGGCAGTCACCAGACTGAATATATAGGCGTATATATAACAACTTGTTATGAATTACAGGAAATGAAAAGAGGTCCTCATTGAAACAAATGTTCAGATCTTCAAGAATATACAGATACTAGAATGAAGACTGATCACCATGATTAGAAACTGGGCTTATATTTCTCTCATAGAATAATGAGGGTTTATCAGCTGTGGAACAGGCGCAAGATGACCTCAATGAAACAGATGAATCATATCGTCCTGTCAGGTCAGGATAGATACGTTCCATACATTTGTTACTAATGAGTAACCCCATAGGAGCACACTTTTTGCCATGGCATATTGCATGTGCTTTATTTGCTCTTAATATGTCACCATCAGCTGAAGAAAAGCAAGACTGTCTTAGCATTAAACTTTCATCATCTGGCAAGGAAATCTGGTACTGGAAGGAGCTACTGTAACAAAGTTGGGGGTCTATTCAAATACCAGGGTCCCCCTAGTAGAGAAAGATGGTACCATATCAGATCACAGACTGGTTTGGGTTGGAAGGGACCTTTAAGGGTCATCTAGTCCAACCCCCCTGCAGTAAGCAGGGACACCTTCAACTAGATCAGGTTGCCAAGAGGCCCATCTCGCCTGCCCTCGAGGATGGGGCTTCTACCACTACCTGTACGAGTGCCTCACCACCCTCATTGTAAAACACTTCTTCCTAATATCTAGTCTAAATCTCCCCTCTTTTAGCTTAAAACCATTACCCCTTGTCTCAGCCTGTCCCCATATGAGAGGTGCTCCAGCCTGCTGATAATTTTTGTGGTCCTCCTCTGGACCTACTCCAGCAAGTCTATGTCTTTCTTGCACTGAGGGCTCCAGAGCTGGAATCAATACTCCAGGTGGGGTCTCACCAGAGCAGAGTAGAGGGGGAGAATCACTTCCCTCGACCTGCTGGCCACACCTCTGGATACAGCCCAGGATACAGTTGGCTTTCTGGGCTGCCAGCGCACACTGCCGGCTCATGTTCAGCTTTTCATCCACCAGTACCCCAAGCCCTTTCTCCACAGGGCTCCAAATCCCTTCAACCCTCAGCTTGTATCAGTACCGCAGGTTGCCCTGACCCATGTGCAGGACCTTGCACATGGCCCTGTTGAACCTCATGAGGTTCATACATCAGATGACCTCAAGATGGAAGAACATGGATTATGCAGGATGACAAAATTCCTTGGTTGCACATATGGTGAAAATGCTGTTTCCAAGGTTAGTGACAGACCACCCTGACAGAGATGAGGACATTCTAATTTCACCAAATGAAGGTGGGCTAAGAAATGGGAAAACACTCCCAGCATCATGAAATAAAACAGTAAAGCGATGTGAAGTACTTGGTACACACTGATATGTACTTCACTGTGTATATAAATATGTAATTAATAGATTTGATAGGTACCTAATAAAATACCGAACACAAACCTTAATTTTTCCAATAACAGTTGATGTCTCCTGCTCCCGGACACAAGACAAGCCACCATCTGTAATATATGCTCTACATGTTCTGACCATTTGATTTGTAACCTAGCACAGACAAATTAAAACAAGCAGGTCGCAAGCTTAAAAGGAAATTTTCCTGTTTCACAAAATCTGACAAAATTCCCACATGCATGTATTAGTATTATCAGAGTTTGGATAAACTTCATATGTGGGAATAATAGTGACCAAGTATTATATGTAGGATACACGAAAAACACAATATAAAGAGTCTTAAAACACTCCCAGAACTGTATTTAAGTCCAAAGAAGTATTTGTAAGTAGTCTAAGTCCAGCAATACAAAGGCATGAACACCAACCATAACTCAGTAACAAAGAGAAGTTAGTTAACTATTCTGTACTTACATTGTCATCTTTACACTTTGTAGTGTGTGCATCCTTGTTTTAAAACATCCACTAGAGAATATTCTATCCTAGCAGTATGTCTTTACCTTGGTCTCTGTCCCAGCCCGGTTATCCCAGGAAGGGGGAGATTCGTTGTTATACCCAGAGTGAGATTAAGACACAAACGAGGTCAGATGCCGCTAACAAAGGATTTTATTTTTGTTGTAAGAAAGTAGCGATAGGAGAGAGAGAAAATAGAAAAGGGGGAAAATTTAGCTAGCAGTCAGGATAGAATTGCAAGAAATAGTCACCACCATGGATCCAGCGGCGTCCTGTTGGTCCGTAGTCTTGCAGTCTTTGGTGGGGAGGGTTCCTCATTGTGATTTGGTCTCACAGTCTTTTATAG